AACCACGGAATCCACGGCTCCGTTCTCTACACGCGCGCAGGCCCCTGGGCTCGACGGTTCCTCCTGAGCCCACTCGCCGGGACAATTGCGGCGGGAGGAGCGGCCGGGAAGCGGAGAGAGGACGCTGCGCCGCGTCCCGGAAGTGCGGCGCCCGCGGGGCCCACCCGCCCGCCGGCTCCAGCCCGGGCTCCGCGGGAGTCGGAGTCGCGGCGGCTGGCTTCGCGCATGCGCCCTCGGTGTCCGAGTCACCCGCACGGACTTCCGGTTCGGGAGCTGGACTAGCAGGCTGGCGAGCCGGGCCTGGGGCCGACCTCGGGCGGCTGGGGCTGGCCCGCGGGCAGAGAGGCGAGTGGACTGAGGGACAGCCCGGGAGAGAGACACTCCCAGGAGTGGGCTGGAGAGTGCTCCCGGGCACCTTCGCTCGGTAGAAGGTCTCGGAGCGGGGCGAGGGGTTCCTGCACCGCGGCTCCGATAGTGACCTGGCCGGAGGGAGCGAAGACAAAGAGGCCGGAACCCCGCACCCGCCGCTCCCGGAGCTGAGCTCCGCGCCCGCGAACCCCGCAGCAGCACTCGGCTCTCCTGGCCAGCACCCGAGCTCGTCCCCAGGAGACCCGTGACTGCTGCCCCCTCGGACTCCCTTCTCCCCCCCAACTCGGTGCAGCTCTCCCCCAGCCCACCGGCCCTCGCTTCAGGAGCCAAAACCAACCTCTCCAGGCGGGAGGTTTCCCGTCAGTAGTTCCTGAACATTTGCCGACCGAACATTTGCCTTCTGCTGTGAGGACAAGCAAAGACCCAGTATTTGATTCAGTACTTGATTTTTGTCTGGGGGTGGGAATTGGTAGTTGTGGAGTCCAGGGGTTTGGGCGGCCGTAGACAGCCTGGGGGCGATCAGCTGCGACCCGCTGGACAGAGGCTTTGTGTGGCCGCGAGCAGGATGGTGACTTGCCTTTAGCTGCTGAGCTCCGGGTCTCCCATACGGTTCGAACTCACAGTGCGACCTTGGCAGAGGAGCTCAATGAGATCAGAGTTGGGGGGTGGGGGAAGCAGAGCAGACTATGTTCTCTCTGCTGTTTTGCCAGGCTGCCCTGGGAAGTCGCCCGGAAATGCAGCTTTTGCAAGTTTTCCCTCCAGGCTCAGTTTGGGCTTGCTATCCTGAAGTTGGTGCTACCTCAGATGGCCACATGGAGCATATAGATGCGAAGTCAGGCCAGCTCGGGCAAGGCTTTAGACAGGTGAATATATTCCTTCTGATAGTGCCCTCTCTCTCTACCCTAGGAAAAAACGCCTCTTGCAGAGAGAGACTCATCTGCAGGTGATTCTCCAAGGACATGGGAAGATAGGTGTAAGCCCCGGAACCCAGACCCTTACGTAGAGGGAAGCTGCTTTCTGCTGCGAATCATGGCCAAACCCACTCAGAGAGGGAATGGCACTAGCTCGGAGACCTCACGACAGCGCTTCAGGAAATTTCAGTACCACGAGGTAGCTGGGCCCCGGGAGGCTTTCAGCCAACTCTGGGAACTTTGCTGTCGGTGGCTAAGGCCGGAGGTGCGCACCAAGGAGCAGATTGTAGAGTTGTTGGTGCTAGAGCAGTTCCTGACCATCTTACCCGGGGAGATCCAGAAGTGGGCACAGGAGCAATGTCCGGAAAGTGGAGAGGAGGCTGTGGCTCTGGTGGAAGATTTAGAAGGAGAGCCTGGAAGACCTGGACGCTCGGTGAGAAGGGAGGGGAACTCACAAGTGTGTGACTGGGCAGGGGCAAGGTTACGGGGCCAAATTAAGGTGCAGACATGTAAAGAGGGGCACAATCTCCCTTGGTAATGCTTATACTTCTGGTCCCAGAACAGGTAACTTTTTCAAATACAGCTTATCTGGAGATGCTACCTGGGTGTATCTTTGCTACCCTGTCATCATGAGTTATTCATAGATTGTTTTATTTAACTGGGGAAAAAAAGGGATTTATGTTTTCGCCTGTAGTGGGTTTACTGTTTTGATCTTTGCCTTCTGGAGTCCCAGCTGCTCTAAGCGAACAGTAATGGAATCAGAATGACTCCTTTGGCTATTACCACCACCAACCACAACCCTAGCCATGTCCCCAAAGGATGGTGGTCTTTTTTGCGGGGTATTAAATAATCTCCTCTGGGAAGGCCCCTCATAATAACCTTGCAGTGACCATTAATGGGGGTTGTTTCTAGGTCACAGTCTCTGTGAAGGGGCAGGAAGTACGCTTGGAGAAGATGACACCCCTGAAATCATCACGAGAGTTAAGTGTTCGGCAGGAGTCAGTGGAACCTCAGTCCAGGGGTGTACCCAAGAAGAAGAGGGCAAGAAGCCCAGTCCTGGGACCACAGGAGCAGATGAACCCAAAGGAGCAGCTCAGACCTTTTCACAGGAGCGGTGAGGAGTAGGTTCTAAGTTGGGAAGTGGGGTTTGGGACTAGTGAGTGGGAAAGGGATGTAGGAATGAGCAGTAACGATGGAGTATGTGGTGTTGGTTACCTCCTGAAGGCAGATAGTTCAGCTCTCTGCTGCAGAAAGTATTCTTGTATTTCCGCTTTTGATAAGTCTGCCAGAGAATGGTTCCTTAGCTTTTGTCAGAACTTTGAACAAATTTATTTCCTCTTGGTAATGATGGTACTAGGTCAGTATTTCCTAGATAAAATGTATTTTCTATACTTGAAGGTATATCTTCCTTTTAATCATTTTCCTTTTCCAAAATAAATTGTATTTGTTTCTTTAAGCTTTTCCTCAGAAACTCCATTATTCCGACATACTAAGTTTTTGTTACTTTCCCTTGGAAACTTTAAGTTCTACAAATATGTCAATTATGGAGAACTAAGTTATGTGTATTATTCTAATGAGGGTCCGATAGTTTAAGGCAGAGTAAGAATTTTACTTCAGAATTTCACTATTTTCTTTCAGTATAGCTCAATTACTTAATGTTATTGTTCACTTGGTAATTCCTAGGACTCTCATAGCCTTCCCCATTGTCTTTACGTCTAGTACTTAACCCTTGTACATGATTTTGTAGAGCTTGTTTTTCTTCTTTGTACTCTGTAAAATCCATATTGTATGATTTTTTTTCTTTGATCATTTCTTTAACTTGTTGAGGTTGTTCTGAATTCTGACTTTATCATTCAAGATGCTACCCTTCTCAGCTAGCCTTCTCTGGTCTCTAGTCATCCAGATGCAATCCCTCAACGCCCCCACATAGGCTTGTAGAATTAATCAGTTTGTGAACACCTGCCATGTGCTCAACACCTTGCAAGGCATTCTGCAATAAGGAAAGATGCCTATCCTTAAAGAGCTTATAATATGATTGAGAACATAACAGCAAACATAAATATGTGCTGACTGAACTGTACTGAAACAATGCAATGCTAAATAATAACTTGTTCCTCAATTGTGTGAGCATAATAGGAGTTTGACAGAGTGGAAGATGAAGGAGGGCTGTAGGGAAGGCTTCATGGGGGCATTGGCAAATACAGCTTGAAGAATGGGTTAAATTTGGATAGGAGGGGAAGAGCCTGATATGGACAGTGCATAGTAGGCACTCAGGTTAAGATCCAGCAGTATATAGCATGTGAGCTGAGGAAGCAAGAGCCTGGAGCTAGGTAGGACAGTGACTGCTGCAGGTAGCTGGGAGTGAGAAGGTGAGGAGTCTAGACTTGGATGGTGGCAGTAGGAATAGAGGATATAGTAAGGGAAAAACTTTTAGAACTTGGTGACTGAGTGTGAAGGAAACAGATGAGTTGAGGATGATTTCCCCTCTGTTTCCCTCCCCCTTGAAATCTGAGTTTAATTTTCTAGCCTCAAGTGGAGAAATATAGGAGACAGGAGGTAACTGTTCCCAGCAGTGCCATGACCTGCCTACAAGTGGTCAGGAGGGCTTGGGAGCAATTTGGAACAGAATATCTGCTCTGACATACAACAGAAGCTTTCCTCTCATCACCCTGTTCTGGAAAATAAATAGTTCTCATTTTTTGAGGTTTCATGTATTTCCCCCATTTTCTTCAACACATTGCACTTTCTGAAAATACTTCCTTAGACACTTTTAAAAACTATATTTTTATTGATTTTTTAGAGAGAGAGGAAGGGAGAAGGACAGAGAGATACAAACATCGATGAGAGAGAAACATCATCAGTTGACTGCCTCCTGCATGCTCCCTTCTGGGGATTGAGCCAACAACCTGGCATGTGCCCTGACCAGGGAATTGAACCTTGATCTCTTGGTTCCTGGGTTGATGCTCAACCACAGAGCCATACTGGCTGGGCAGCCACTTTCTTTATAAGCCTCTTGGATAAAAAAGGCAGGTCTGAACTCAGGTATTTTTTTTCCTGGTAAGTCCAAATTATGACATCCTTTGTTTGCTTTCCTGCAAGCAGGATTTCCATTTCCTAAATCTGGTGTGGTCTCCAGGTTGGAGCGAGGAGAGCCTTGGATCCCAGATCTGGGCTCCAAAGAAAAGGAACTCCCAAGAGGCAGTCTCACAGGAGATAGACAAATGCATGCTGACCTGTTACCATCCAGGAGAGAGAAAAGCAGCTGGGTGGATCAGGATCACTGGGGCTTTGAGGATGAGAAGGTGGCAGGTGTGCACTGGGGCTATGAAGAGACCAGAACTCTCCTCGCGATTCTCAGTCAGACTGAATTTTATGCGGCTCTCCGAAATTGTCATCGAAACAGCCAAGTATATGGGGCTGTGGCTGAACGGCTCCGGGAGTATGGTTTCCTCCGGACGCTGGAACAGTGTCGGACCAAGTTCAAAGGTCTCCAGAAGAGCTATAGGAAAGTCAAGAGTGGCCACCCACCTGAGACCTGCCCCTTTTTTGAAGAGATGGAAGCCCTGATGAGTGCTCAGGTCATTGCCCTGCCCAGTAATGGCCTGGAAGAGGCAGCCTCTCACTCTGGCCTGGCAAGCAGCGATGCTGAGACTGAGGAGCCAGAGCCAGGGAATTGGCAGCATGAGGAGGGAGCAGAAGAGGCCACAGCGGAAGAGTCTG